AAAAAAAAAAAAAAAAAAAAAGATAAGTCTGGAAACTGCTTTGCTGCATCCTCTGTTTCAGATCTCCTCAAGTTACAAACAAGGTGTCAGCTGGGCTGGGCTCTCATCTGGAGGCTCAAGTGAGGAAGGCTGTCTTCCAGACTGTGCTATTGTCAGAATTCATGTTCTTGCTGCTGTGTACCTAGGGGCCTGAAGTTTTGGCTGGCTGGAGGCTGGAGACCACCTGCAGTTCCTCAAGGCTGCCCGCACTTCCTCACTTCATGGGCTTCCTCCGTGTGGCCAGTGATGAGGACCCTAGTCCAGTCTGCAAAGTCAGAGTCTTTTCTTATGTAATGTAATCATGGGAGTGATGTCATCATCTTTGCCATGTTCTGTTGGCTAGAAGGAACTGCTAGGTTTTGCTTACATGCCCCGAGGAGCTCACCCAAGGGTGATTGCTTGCAGTCACTTTAAGGTGTGTCTGCAGTTACTGATGGGGTTTTTTTGGCCGAAGCCTTGCTGGCTCTAGAGAGGAACAGGGTCTCTGCCTCATGACTGGGTGCCCATGACATGAGTTCCCTGATCTCCATCCAGTTTTCTACATCAGTGAGAAAGACTGATTTCCCAATAATTAGGCATTTTTTCCTGGATAAGATGGGGCAGTCTCATTTGAATCATGCAGGACTGTGGGATTAACATGATTCGAACCCAGTTCCTACAAAATAATAATTCTGGTGCGACAATTGAGCTTACTGTGTGCCAGACACCAAATTAGGTACTTTAAAAAATTGAGTTGCCATTCCATTATGTTGCTCTGGCTGGTCTTGAACCCCTGGGTTCAAGTGATCCTTCAGTCTCGGCCTCCCTAGTAGCTGGGATTACAGGTATGTGCCACCACACCCAGCCTAATTGGGGACTTTAATTCATTATCTTATTTAAGAATCACAGCAGCCCTGTGAGTAGGTATTATTATTTCCATTGAATATTCCTTCTGAGGCACAGAACATACAAGTGAACTGTCCAAGGTCAGCTAATAGCTGTTAGCCAGGACTTTTTGAAGCCAATGTAAACTGCCCAAAGCAACTAGCAGGAGGTTGTATCACTGGCTCACATGCAGAAACACAAAGGCTTAGAGCTGGGCCTCAGGCACAGCTGGATCCAGATTCGCCAGTGATGTCACCTGGAAACTGTCTCTCTTCACCTCCCAATTCGGCTTTCCTCTGTCACAGCTTTGCCCTCAGGTGGGTTCTCTCCAGTGGCAGCAGAAATGGCTGCAGCCAGCTCCAGGAAAAGGCCAGGCTGGATGGCCTTGGCCTAGTTGGGTCTTGTCCTTATGTCTGGACCAACTAGGGAGTGCATGTTCTGCGTGACCAGTCCTGAGCAGATCAGGCCCGTGGCTGAGCCATACACCGCAAGAGTGATGACAGGGTAGAATCCAAGATGCTTCTACCAAAGAAGAGAAAGGGGTGCTGAGCAGGCGACAGCACTGGATTCCAATCCAGTTCCACCTGACTCCAGGTGCTGCTGTCAGTCACTGTGCTGAGGAGTCCCGGGTGTGGCCAGGACTGTTCAGGTGCCTAACTCACTCCCAGGCCGGTCCTTCCTGGAAGGGGGCACCATGAATGCACAGGGCCTCTGCAGAAATAGGACATGGGTGGACGAACGGCGAGCTGTTTTTTTTTTTTTTTTTTTTTTTTCAGATAGGGTCTCACTCTGTCACCCGGGCCAGAATGCAGTGGCACGGTCATAGCTCACGGCTCCCTGGAAATCCAGGACTCAAGCGATGCTCGCATCTCAGCTTTCCAAGTAGCTGGGACTATAGGTGCACATCACCATGCCTGGCTAATTTTCTTTTCTTTCTTCTTTTTTTTTTTAAGACTGAATTTTGCTCTTGTCGCCCAGACTGGAGAGCAGTGGCACAATCTTGGCTAATTACAACCTCCACCTCCCGGGTTCAAGCAATTCTCCTGCCTCAGTCTCCTGAGTAGCTGGGATTACAGGTGCCTACCACCACACCCAGCTAGTTATTGGATTTTTAGTAGAGATGGGGTTTCACCATATTGGCCAGGCTGGTCTTGAACTCCTGACCTCAGGTGATCCACCTGCCTCGGCCTCCCAAAGTGCTGGGATTACAAGCCTGAACCACCGCACCCAGCATTTTTTTTAGAGACAAGGTCTCATTATGTTGCCCAGGCTGGCCTCGAGCTCTTGGGCTCAAGTGATCCTCCTACCTTGACCTCCCACAGTGCTGGGATTACAGCATGAGCGTGAGCCACCGTGCCCGGCCTGAGGGACAGCTTCCTCTCCATGCCAGGGAGAGTAGAGCAGCTGACTTCAGAACGGTTTCTGTTACCAGCTTTACTGTGACCAGCACTTATTGCTCGAGAGGATTTGGGATGCTTCTTGTTGTAGGACTGAATCCTGCAGCAGGCCTGGCAGCTGGGAAACATCCCCATCCCCATCGGGGGGAGTCTTGAGGCTCAAAGTCCCCCAGACCCAGAAGTCATGGGTCTTCTTCCCTCACTTAGGAGGAAACTGAGGCCCAGGGAAGGGAATGACCCCTGAGTGTCCTCTCCCTGTCGTGGGTACCTCTGGTCTCACCTCCAGTCTCCTTTGTTTAATTGACATTGTATTTTTAAATGGGTAATGCATTCATATGGTTCAAAATTCAGTGGTGAAAAGGGTTTGCTGGGAAATGTCTGTCTGAGTGAATAATGTTCCCCTGAAGGTGCCCATGTCCCAATTCCTGGAACCTGTGACTATGTCACCTTATATGGCAAAAGGGAATTTGCAAATGTGATGAAGGGAAGGATCTTGAGATGGGAGACTATCCTGGATCATCGGGTGGGCCCACATGTAATCACAGGTGTCCTTACAAGAAGGAGGTCCGAGAGATCCCTGCCTGCCGGCTCTGAAGGTAGAGGGAGCGTGTTTTGGTCGGCCTGGGATGCCGTAACAAAATCCCACACTGGGGTCCTCAACAACGGACGTTTCTTTCTCACCATTCTGGAGGCTGGGAAGTTCAAGATCAAGGTTGTCGCTGACTCAGTTCCCCATGATGGTTCTCTTCTTGACTTGCCGAGAGCTTCCTTCTTTTTATAATTTATTTATTTTTATAGTAACAAATACGCTTTTCATTGATCTCAGATAAAAACTAGCCAAGGAAGGTCAGTCATCGTTTTAGCCCCTAACCTGTTAGAGCCGTACGGTGAGCAGCCTTGAGTACCGGGTTAACTGGTTGTTTTCCCGAATTCCCACCATCCACGGTATTAGAAAACACAAGGCATTGTCTCCGTTTAGGATAAGCATGTGGCCTGGCGACCAAATCCCGTGTATTTTCTTTAGCTCTTCTGTGCTGTTGACGTGAGCTTTCGTGGTATCTTCCTTGGTAGTCCCTTTCAGCTCATTCCAGGCATTACACTTGGCTTTGCCTTTGAAGTCCAACACCCCGGGCTGTTCTGTGTTCATGTCACCCACAGCCGCTTGTTTGTAGCGGCCATAAATGAACAGCACCTCATCGTCTGCTGGCTTGGTCTTAAGGTGCTTAACTTCCTCTGCAGCTTTCTCAAACTCAGCCTGAGACCTCCTGGCCGGCTTGCAAGAACTCCAGGGAGCCCGAGGAGGAGGCCAGGAGCAGGAAGCAATTTATTTTTATTTATTTATTTTTTATTATACTTTAAGTTCTGGGGTATATGTACAGAATGTGCAGGTCTGTTACACAGGTATACACATGCCATGGTGGTTTGCTGAACTCATCAACCTGAGATCTACATTAAGTATTTCTCCTAATCCTATCCCTCCCCAGCCCCCTACCCTGCAACAGGCCCTAGTGTGTGATGTTCCCCTCCCTGTGTCCATGTGTTCTCATTGTTCAACTCCCACTTATGAGTGAGAACACGTGGTGTTTGGTTTTCTGTTCTTGTTTTAGTTTGCTGAGAATGTTGGTTTCCAGCTTCATCCGTGTCCCTGCAAAGGACATGAACTCATCCTTTTTTATGGCTGCATAGTATTCCATGGTGTCTATGTGCCACATTTTCTTTATCCAGCCTATCATTGATGGGCATTTGAGTTGGTTCCAAGTCTTTACTAGTGTTAACAGTGCCGCAATAAACACACATGTGCAGGTGTCTTTAGAGTAGAATGATTTATAATCCTTTGGGTATATACCCAGTAATGGGATTGCTGGGTCAAATGGTACTTCTAGTTCTAGATCTGTGAGGAATCGCCACACTGTTTTCCACAATGGTTGAACTAATTTACACTCCCACCAACAGTGTAAAAGTGTTCCTATTTCTCCACATCCTCTCCAGCATCTGTTGCTTAGAATTGTCTTGGCTATATGGGCTCTTTTTTGGTTCCATATGAAATTTAAAGTAGTTGTTTCTAATTCTGTGAAGAAGGTCGTTGGTAGCTTGATGGGGATAGCATTGAGTCTATAAATTACTTTGGGCAGTGTGGCTGTTTTCATGATACTGATTCTTCCTATCCATGAGCATGGAATGCTTTTCCATCTGTTTGTGTCCTCTCTTATATCCCTGAGCAGTGGTGTGTAGTTCTCCTTGAAGACGTCCTTCGTATCCCTTGTTAGTTGTATTCCTAGGTATTTTATTCTTTGTAGCAATTGTGAATGGGAGTCACTCATGATTTGGCTGTTTGTCTGTTATTGGTGTATAGAAATGCTTGTGATTTTTTGCACACTGATTTTGTATCCTGAGACTTTGCTGAAGTTGCTTATCAGTTTAAGGAAATTTTGGGTTGAGACAATGGGGTTTCTAAATATTTCTGCAACAGAGACAATTTGACTTCCTCCCTTCTTGTCTGAATACCCTTTATTTCTTTCTCTTGCCTGATTGTCCTGGCCAGAACTTCCAATACTATATTGAATAGGAGTGGTGAGAGAGGGCATCCTTGCCTAGTGCCAGTTTTCAAAGGGAATGCTTCCAGTTTTTGCCCATTCAGTATTATATTGGCTGTGGGTTTGTCATAAATAGCTCTTGCTATTTTGGGATATGTTCCATCAATATACAGTTTATTGAGAGTTTTTAGCATAAGGGGTGTTGAATTTTATCAAAGGCCTTTTCTGCATCTATTGAGATAATCACATGGTTTTGTCTTTGGTTCTGTTTATGTTTTGGGTTACGTTTATTCCTTTGCATATGTTAAACCAGCCTTGCATCCCAGGGATGAAGACTTGATCATGGTGGATAAGCTTTTTGATGTGCTGCCGGATTCAGTTTGCCAGTATTTTACTGAGGATTTTCTAATCGATGTTCAGGGATATTGGCCTGAAATTTTCTTTTTTTGTCATGTCTCTGCCAGGTTTTGGTATCAGTGTCTGGCCTCATAAAATGAGTTAGGGAGGACTCCCTCAATGAAGCCAGGGCTGGTTTTTTGAAAAGATCAGCAAAGCCGGGTGCGGTGGCTCACTCCTGTAATCCCAGCACTTTGGGAGGCTGAGGCGGGTGAATCACGAGGTCAGGAGTTTAAGACCAGTGTGGCCAAGATGGTGAAACTCTGTCTCTACTAAAAATACAAAAATTAGGTGGGCATTGTGGCGGGCGCCTGTAATCCCAGCTGCTCGGAAGACTGAGGCAGAGAATTGCTTGAGCCCGGGAGGCAGAGGTTGCAGTGAGCCAAAATCGCACCACTGCACTCCAGCCTGGGCGACAGAGTAAGACGCCATCTCAAACAAAGTGAAAATGAAAGATCGACAAAATAGACCACTAGCCAGAATCAAATAGACTCAATAAAAAATGATAAAGGGAATATCACCACTGATCCCACAGAAATACAGACTACCATCAAGAGAATACAGACTGCCATCAGGCGCACAACACCATGTCTGGCTAATTTTTGTATTTTTTTGGTAGAGACGGGGCTTCACCAGGTTGGCCAGGCTGGTCTTGAACTCCTGACCTCAGGTGATCTGCCTGCCTCGGCCTCCCACCATACCCTACCATACTTTCTGTTTTCTATCCCTCGCAAATCATAGCATGCCATACACACTCTTCTGCACCTTGCTCTTTATCCTTTATCATGTCTCAGAGCGTCAGACTCTCCTATATCAGCCTTCAAAGGGCTCTCACTCTCTCCCCTCTCGCTCTCTCCCCTCCCGTGTTCCTTTGGGCAGAAGCACCAGCACCTGTGTGTCCATTGCTGCCTTTTGCACTGTGTACCTGCAGGGTTCTGTGCAGGAAGAATCCACCTCAGGTGTTTCAAACCGAAAGGGATTTTAACATAAGGAATTAGGAATTCATAAAATCATTGGTAAAGATTCATAGGCTTGAGAGAAACAATCACTGGGAGAGAGGGAAGGTCAAAGCTTTCTGGGGCAAGGCCACGCCTCCACCACAGTCCCTGATCCTCCGCACTCCCACACCCACAAATCAGGCACTGAGATGGCAGAACGGGAAATGCATCCAGTGCCAACCAGTGTTTCTACTGGAACCCACTTTCATACCCATGCAGCTGCAGAAAGACAAGAGCCTATCTTTCTTCTACTTTCCAGTTCCACAAGAATGCGCTGATTTGCAGAGAGAAAGTCATATCCAGAGGGAACCTGGGAAATAGTTTCCAGCTTTCCAACTACTATGGTCTGAACGAACCCCCACCATTCACGTGTTGAATCTGAACTCCAGTGCAATAGTGTTAAGAGGTGGGTCCTTTGGGTGGTGATTAGGTCAGGAGGGCTCCTCCCTCGTGAACGGAATTAAGACCTTTATAAAGAGGCTTTGAAGGCCAGACACGGTGGCTCACGCCTGTCATCCCAGCATTTTGGGAGGCTGAGGCTGGTGAAGTCAGGAGTTCAAGACCAGCCTGGCCAACATGATGAAACCCCATCTCTACTAAAAATACAAAAAATTAGCCAGGCATGGTGGCACATGTCTGTAATGTCAGCTACTTGGGAGGCTGAGGCAGGAGAATTGCTTGAACCTGGGAGGCGGAGGTTGCAGTGAGCTGAGATTGTGCCACTACACTCTAGCCTGGGTGACACAGAGCAAGATTCCGCCTCAAAAAAATAAAAAGAAAGAGGCTTTGTACAGTGTTCAATTCAAAAACCATAGAAGGGATGGTTTTTGCCCTTCCATCCCTTCCTCCATGTGAGGACACGGTGTTTATTCCCTCCCAAAGGTTCAGCACCAAGGCACCATACTGGAAGCAGAGAGCAGCCCTGACCGACACCAAACCTGCCAGCACCGTGGTCTTGGACTTCTCAGACTCCAGAACTGTGAGCAATACACTTCTGTTCTTTGTAAATTACCCACACTAGGTATTTTGCTAGAGCAGCATGAGTAACTAAGACATCAGCCATCTAAACAAAAGCTGGAAGGAGCTGATTCCACTAGCCAGTACCTTGCGGGTCTTCCGCGCCATGACATCTAAAGGAGCAAAAGCTTTCACCTAACACTGTGCAACTGTGCCACACACACACACACACACACACACCCTCTCCACAGAAGGGAAAACCTGATGTTCTGATCAGTCATTCTCCAGCTGTGAGTGGTGTTCACTCCTCTTCTGGGCAGAAATCCCATGAGGCTGATTATAAAGTCGCCTATCCCCAGTGCACCCAGGACCCCCAGAGGCATAGGTATCATTTGCATTATAGACTTTTCCAACAGTGTCCTCTTGGAGCTGTGCAGTGTGCAGCCTGCACAACACTACATGGTGACCCTGTGTCCTATATTTTATGTAGAATAGTAAGGAAAAGAAAGAAGGAAATTAGTTAACATAAACAAAAAGGAACAGAATAAAGGAGGAAAAGTGTATGGTGGTCCTTCACTCTGCCATAGTTGGTATTCACAATTTCCTCCCTCCACCATCTAACCATAGTCCCTCCCCCTCAGCCAGCATCTCATTTGGTCGTGGTTCTACCTCCTCCCAGGGTAACCCCATCTGTATATAATACCCTCTTCCAACCATCACGCTACAGGCCAGGTCGTGAGCCAAGCTTGCAATGGGAGACACCTGTGACACCGCCCTGCCCTTGAGGGGAGGCTCAGGCACTAACAAACACAGGCCACTGGCTGGGCACAGTGGCTCACGCCTATAATCCCAGCACTTTGGGAGGCTGAGGCGGGCGGATCATTTGAGGTCAGGAGTTTGAGACCAGCCTGGCCAACATGGTGAAACCTCATCTCTACAAAAATATAAAAGTTAGCTGGGTGTGCTGGTGTGTGCCTGTGGTCCCAGCTACTTGGGAGGCTGAGGTGGGAGAATTGCTTGAACCCGGGAGGTAGAGGTTGCAGTGAGCTGAGATCATGCCACTGTACTCCAGCCTGGGTGACAGAGTGAGACTGTCTGGGGGAAAAAAAGAAGAAAAAAACACAGGCCTCCAGGGTGACAGAGCAAGACCCTGTCTTTAAAAAATAAAAAAAAGCCAGGCACGGTGGCTCACGCCTGGTAATCCCAGCACTTTGGGAGGTTGAGGCAGGTGGATCACAAGGTCAGGAGATTGATACCAGTGTGGTAGCATGTGCTACTCGGGAGGCTGAGGCTGGGTTCATTACTTGAACCCGGGAGGCAGAGGTTGCAGTGAGCCAAGATCGCACCATTGCACTCCAGCCTGGCGACAGAACGAGCCTCTGTCTCCAAAAAGAAAAGTGATTATCCCTAAAATAAAAAATAAAGGAAAGGAG